TTTGATCTTAAAATGTCACTAAGGCTATTTGTGCCGGGTCATATAACTTCAAACAAAATATTTTATACTCTTCTCGCTCCTTTCCTCCTATCTGATAGGTGAGTGGCTCTGCTAGTGCTTAATGTGAAACCATTAAACACCACTCTTTTTTTTTTTTTTTTTAATGTCTTAAATCAATGCTTTCCTAAATTGATTCTATTATCTACTTTAAAAAATGGATATATGTGTATAATAATAGTAGTAATAAACACTGCTAGACTTCCCAAAAGTGCCTTTAACACTTAACATTTTCATTGCCATTGCTCTGTCTTATGGCCACACTTAATATGTACAGAAATACCTGGGGATTCGCACTTTGTTCCACTTGTGTGCTTCACAGCTATCACTCAGGTTATGATAAAGCATTTCATGAGAATAGTAGGCATTAGCTTATGGAACCTTAGGAGTCAACTTTTCATTATTTTGTAGCAGGTACCCAAGCTGCAACAGATGCAGGTACCCAAGCTGGCTCTGCTTGCCCTGGGCTGAGAGCTGGGAGCATTGGGTAGCAGTGATGTAGAAAGACCTGGGGTAGTTTCATGCAAGCCAGTGTGTAGTAGTTCCAGTGAGGGGAGTCTATGCTATTTACCAGTACTGGATGAGAAATCTGTACAGCACTGCTAGTTTATCACCTCAGGTCTCAGTGAAGCTAGGGAGACAGTGCTGTTAGGGGAATTGCATTTGGTGCAGGCATTGAAACATGAAGGGGGATAAAACCAAGACCACAAGATCCCTGTCTAGCTGAAGTCAACAAAAAATGTTTGGAAAAAGACTGAGAAATTGAGAGTCTAATATAAGGCATGTTGCAGAGGTAAAGTGCATGCTATGCTTCCCTTAAAAAGCAAGAATTTACATGTAATTGTCTATTTTGGACTTTTTATTTCAATTTGAACATGGGTTCTGAACACTTGCCACTCTCATCATTTAAGACTCATCCCTTTTAAATACAGTAATGTGTCCTCAGCCCTAGACAAAACCAACTTTCTTGCCTGGCTGAAAATCAGAGGTGTAAGAAAACAAATATTTTCTTAGATTGTGATTAGTATTTGCACAACAGAGAACTCACACTGAATTGAAAATCATCACAGGTAATTGGAAAGAAAAGGTCTCTATGTGCATGTTACCTTCATTTAAGAAAATGAAATCTAATCTACACTTGATATCACTGGAGGTAAACGTTGGAAATTCTGAACCTCTGAATTCATTTACAGGAAGCTCAGGAAATCAAATGTAGACTTCTGTAGTCATCCTTACCTGTTGTTTCAAATTTTCCACTTGTTTAGATAGGAAAAAGAAAAGGAAAAATTCACATCAATTCACCTCTTGACGACATATCATTTTAATGGCGCTCACTGACAATATTTCAAAAGCTGTGCGGGCTGGTAATATCTACATGAGGGAGAACAAAATTTCAAAACAGTCATTATAGCTGCAGTCTAGAGCTTCCTTTCCTGAGAGACACAAAGAATGGACAGCAACGGCCCCTGAAGATAACTGAAGAAACTGCAGATCCTCATGTCTACAGACCTTTTGTTTTGTGTTACTGTGACCATGCTTATTATTTCCATGGTGCCCAGGAAGCCTAAGCAATGGTGAAAATCTTATTCTGTACCTCTAAACAACTACATGGAAAACAGACTCTGATTCCACAGAACTTTTTGAGAAGAGATTATAAGATAAGAAAGATTGTTTTCAATACTGACGTATAAGCATACCCAAATACACCCTCACAAATACACTATTATTCAACCCAGAAACGTGTTTTCCAAGCAAATACAGAAACATTTATATTCACATAAGTATATGGAGCCATGGTCTATCTTCTGCTTCTGAAAATTCAGCTCTATGTACATGGAGGTGGAAAATAACAGCTGTGAGGGAAGGAATTTGGAGTACAAATGAACACCAGACCCAGCTGTAGATTTGCATTCTTTGACATCTGGTGCTGACTAGACATGGGAATTCTGTGGCAACATGAGATTCTATGCATCTGTCAGCTAAATCTAGCAATTCTCTTTGGGACAATTGCATAGATGAGGTTGATCTCAGAGAGCTGTTTTAAGCCAGAACAAAACAAAGGAAGAAGACTGTATCTGATTTGTACCCACAATTTGCAGAGCTGGCTGGTTGCACGAATCGGGATCTCACATCTGTTCTACAAGAATTTGGAGACCCAACATGTTTGACTATTATTGAAATATCATAATAAACCCAGACACTCAAGGAAAAGAAGGGTTGTGACCATATGAAACAACCCCTGATTTGACTTAATCTTGTTCTTAGCTTTGTAATTTTACCTCATTCCAATAAAGCTGATTTTTTTTTTTTATATGAGAAAAAGTCTTGTGCCTTATGCCAACACAGTTTTTCTCACCACGGTTTAGATGCGAACGAAGCAACAAGAGCACCAAAGACATTACACATCATTATACATTTTAAATCCTCAATTTAGGATATACTGTTGGACACTACACATGGTAAATCATCACTGCAAAATGAAATCACCGATTCATGAAATTTTATGTTAATCTGTACTGCACAGTAACTCTCATTTTTAAGGGAACTACTTAATTTAACTGGATGCCTCCATTGTATGACTACAGGATAAACAGATTTCACAAGAAAGTGTTTAACCTCTTTCCTTATAACCCTGGATAACCAGGAGTGGGTGTGGACTGAGACCCGGTGGGGATGCTGTGAAGTCTGTGGCTGTGACCTTTCTGCCTCAGACATCTGAGACCACACAGGGCAGCAGTGCTAATGAATGTGCCCTTTCCTGATGAACTCATGCTTCACAGTCCCTGCTATGGTATATTGCATAATCTGGGGCGATGTAAAATGATTGGCAGTGCGGAAGATGAAATAAGCCTCCTTCCTTCCTTCCTCATCTTCCTCTCAGATAGGCTGCTTGAATTGCTTTTGTTTTGGGATGACCCTTGTTCCAAGCGATTTCTGCAGCAAAAGGAAAGCAAAAAGCCTTTTTCTCAGCTACTGGTTGTAGATCATGTATCTGGACTCTTCAGACATAAATCAACAGAACCATTTTTATGCCGTTGCCTAGTCCCCATTACCTGCACACACCAATCAAATTTAAGCCATTTTCAGATGCAGTGATTGAACAAGGTCTTGTGTTAGAATTTTTTTTTTAATGGCAAGTGCCATTGTGCTTTTGCCATGAATATGTGAAGAAATACTCTGAACTGCTTTGGCTCCCAGTTGTCTCTTTGCAAAATAATCTTTATGCTACACATGTGGTGGCAAAGGTTTCCATAATACAGCCCCTGACTCCTTTAATTACATCTTACTATGTCGTGAATGATATAATGCTACTAAAGCTCTTAAATACACCACATTAATGACAGCTATAAATGTAGATATTACCTTAGCAGTGCTGTATGGAGTCTGGTATGCTGAGTAGAAGTCCATAATTTTCTAAAAATACACTCTTGTAACTATGAAAGAGACACAGGTGGAAAGTCACCAGGAGAAAATAGGCTTGGTTGACAACTTGTGGCTGACAAATGTTAAAACCAAATTTCTGAGAAATTCTCTGTTGGTTATAAATCAGGCATGAGAGAAACTTTTCTCCCTCAAGACAGCTGCCAAGTTTTTGCTCTGGACACAGATGCAGTTTCTTAAAAGACAGAATGTATTTACAGCCTGTAAGATACCTGCTGTTTTTCATGCTGACTCTCAACAAGCAAGCAATAGATTTTTTTGTTTACATTAGAAAGTGTTGGCATGTCTGTGTGTTTGGTGTTTGTGTCCATGGATGTGAATGTAACCCTTGCATATACTACGCAACCTGTGTGGGGCCAGGATAGGTGGCATTCTAGTCATGTAATTAATTAAGTCTAGTTCACCCTAACGTGCAAGTCCCAGGGCATGCACCCATCAACCTTTCTAAAACTGGAGCACAAGATTACAACACTGACACGCCTAAGCAAGGGACTGACATTAACCTCGTGCTACATTTAAATCATTCCAGGCAGTCTGTTTTGAATTTCTAAATGTTGCTGTACTGTTCTAATGAGTTAATCCATTTGGTATCCATTTCCTCCTGTCAGCTGCTTTTGGAAAATAAATTGTGCATTGTTATCTTAGCCTTGTCTATCCTATTAATGGTTTAGGAAATGCAGCTGAAGATTATCTGGAGTTTTCTATGGCAGAGGTTGACCTGTGGCAATGGGATGATCAATCACATCTTGAAGGAGTCAGAATCTGCAAAATGCTTATTCATTTTTTTTTCAGTCAGCAGTGCAGATTTTTTAAAAAATGTTTTCAACCATTTGTGCAGAGGGGTAAAAACAAAATTGTTGGCAAGAATTTTGAAAAAACATCAATTTCAGTGTGTAAATGTCATCTACCCAGTGAAGGTGAATATAGCAATATACTACAAATTCCACATTTGCCAGCAGTATATTAGGAGTCTGCTCTATTCCATTCTTGTTTGATGTTAGCGATTAAATTGACAATACCATGATGATTTCCCTGTGCTTTCATAGTGTTGTTAGTCTAGGTGTGAGTGGGAATGGATATAATGCATCTACCCCACAGTGTCTGCCAGCAGTTGCCCAGGAGTGTTGTCCAGGAGTCTGGGTTACCAGAATGCTCCTCTCACTCGGCTCCATGGTGCATCCTTCACCTGTCTCCTGCTTCCCAACACTCTGTTAAAGACAGCAGTATTTGTATCATCTAATTCACTCTGGTAAGAAGCACTACTGTTAACTGGTCCTGCCTGAGTTTAGAAAACAAAGCTTGCTGCGGTGCCTCTGATTCCTCTCTAAGAACTGGAAAAACTCCCACAAGAGTGGGAGCAGTAGCCTTCCCTGATCTTTCCAATCCCCCCCCACCATTTCCAAAATCTCACAGTTTTTCTTTACACATCTTCCTCAATTTCCTAGCAAGCATTTCAAATCTGCTATCCTAGGATGATTTCGGCAACTAATTTTTAGAAATGCCTAGATATCTTTTCTCCCTGGTGTTCTGGCTGTGTTGCCTGTGTCAGCTTTTTACACTGTGCTGTGTGCTAACCCCACTGTGGCACTCAGTACAGTGTTACTCGCGCCCATACTTTCCCTTCTCTCCAACCACAATTAGATCATCTCAAAATATCTGTACTGCTCAGAGGCTCTAGATTTGATGTGAAGGTTCATAGATTAATTTAGCACAACCAGTTTACCTTGGGATTTAAACAAGCTGCTAATTTAACAGCCCTGAATCTTTCTGGCTGTCCCTGTGCTGAAGTCCTATGCTTCCCATAGGATCTGTGGGAATAAGAAGTGTATAAAAAGAAAAAGAAGCACAAAATTCTTAGCCCTTCAGCCCCTTATTTCCCTGTGACTTTCAGACAGTTCTGACTTGCACACTGGAGAAACTCAGAGTTATTTTTTTATGAGAAACAGATTGAATGTGCAGGTTTTCATTGATCTTGGTGCAAGTGAAGTTCATGTCCCTGAAGAATCCCCAAAGACTCTAACACATGGTGCCAAGAATAGTCAGGACCTTGTACTTGAGTCTGTTTTCTCTTGCACTTCTGTTCTCGTCAGCAGGTGGTGGAAAGACCTCTTTATTTTCCCTCATTACACTTTTGATTATTGCAAACAACTTTGACCGTTCTTGCCCTACTTTAACTTAAGCCACTGAAGTGGAGCCCTGAGTCGCCCCTTAATCCTGAACTGAGAGTTGAGCAGGAACAGAAGCTGCTTACACAGTAGCAAGGCAGTCCATACTCTGAGAAGGAATTCTCTGCAGCCACAAGTGGCATTGCCTGAACACAATCTTCACCAGCACCGCTGTGATGCACAAATCCAAGTCGGGCCAAACAACTTGCACCCTGTGCACATCTGAACATCCATTTTCCCAGAGTGTTTCACAGTGAATGTAAAAAACCCCTCCCTTGTTGCTGCTGGTGACTCTTGGATCACCTCATTTGCCTTGGGTGGCCTGCATGTGCCTGGCTTTTTGCTGGTGTCTGTGGATAGCTCATATTTTCCTCAGTATCAGAGAGCTGCAGCTGCACATCTGCAAGATACTCCAGGGAGAAATGGATCACAGTTTGCTGTCTGTAAATAGCTTCTCAAATCCAAGATTTTTGAAAGAAAACACTGTCAATGTTTTTATTTCACTTCTATCATTATTTTTACAACTTAGTTCAATTTTAACAACAATAAAAAATGTCCTGTATTCTCTGTAACATAAATTGGTGCAGTCTCACAGAAGTCTGGGCAACTGCAACAAATATGCCAACAGAGAATTTGGCCCATAAAGGGAAAAGAAGCCTTGATAATGCTATACTCTCAACATGAACATTCATTTTCCTTATTACTTGTCCCAAGAGATCATTTTCTTTATTCAGAACTCCAACTGCAGTTTTTGCTATCAAGAATATTGCTTTTAAACAGGAAAATAAAGAGTAAACTATGATAATTTTCAGTAACTATACTACTATAGCCTTAATTTTCAAGTGAAAACATTACCAAACTCAATTTCAGATAACATTTTTTTATGTGCAAACCACTGTTGATATTAAAACTTCTATTTTAGGTTGCTAGCAAAGAGAAGAACAATGTGACCCATTTAAAAACTGGCTCACAGAAAAATATTAACAAGCCATTTATTGCTACTATTTAATTTTGGTGATAAGCACCTTTTGATAGAAACATTTCTTTGTTACAAAACTAGCAGTAGCATAGAACATATTTGACCATAACCCACGTGCTTTGCAATAGTACTGAGAAAGGACTTTCTGTTTTTTGCCAGTTGTTTGGAAAAGAAATCTAAGAAAAAAAAAAAAGAGGAAAATGCTCACCTTTGAATTCTTCAGTAGATGGAGCCTGATTTTTGAAATTTCTGGAGTACTGCAATGGTTGTATACAGGCTTTCTGGAAGAACAGGTCAGGATGGTGAGCAGGAGCAGTTGCCCTGTATTTTAGAGAGAGAGGTAGGGATGTGTGAAGCTCTGCCATGAGCCAGTTGACAGCTTATGGGTCTGGGCTGGCTGGCAGATTGATGTGGGTGACATTGGTGTGGGTGTCTGCTACAGATAGCTCGAAGTAGATCAGGCCTCCTTCAAGCAGCCAGAAGAAATCTCATGTTTACCAGCCCAGGTACTCACAGAAATCACTGACAACCCTGATATGTGTTGGAGAAGCAAGACAGCAGGGCAAAAGCAACCCAGGAGGTTTCTGAAATGCACTGAAGGGCAATTTCCTGATAGAGGCGATTAGGGAGGTGAAGAGAGGAGATGCTCTCCAGGACCTGACTTTTACAAACAAAGAAGAACTGGTTGGGAATGTGAATGTCAGCACCCTAACCACCATGGCCACGGGGTAGTGGAGCTCAGGATCCCAAGAGAAGACAGCAATTTAACAACCCAGGATATTGGGAAAGCAAACAATGAGCCTGTTCAGGGACCTTCTTGGAAGAATCCCATCCCAAGACACCGTCCTGCAAAATAGAGGAGGAGTTCAGGAGACATGACTGATTTTCAAGCACCACCTCTTCCAGACTCGAGTGTTCAGTCTCCACCTGCAGGAAGTAAAAGAAATATGGGATGAGGACTGCATAGATGAACAAGAAGCTCAAAGATAAAAAAGAAACGTTCAAGAGGTGAAAGTAGAGTTAGGTGATATAGGAGGAATACAGAGACATTGCCTAAGCACACGGGAATCAAGTTAGGAAAGTCAGAGCCCACTTGGAATTGAATCTGGCAAGGGATGTGAACAGCAAAAAGAGAGGTTTCTTCAGGTACTTCAGCAGCAAAAGGAAGACTGGAGAAAATGCGGATCCACTGCTGAAGAGGGAAGGGGGCATGGTGACAGAGGACATGGAAAAGGACAATATTCTCACTGTTCTTTTCTCATTGGTCTCTACTGGTAAGACCAGCCTTCAGGTCTCAGATCCCTGAGATGCTGGGAAATATCTGGAATAAGGAGGAATTACCATTGTTTGAGATGGACCAGATCAGAGAACAATTAGACAGCTGGGCTGAACACAAGTCCATGGGACCTGATGGGATGCAACCACAAGCACTGAAGTAGCTAGCCAATGTCACTGTGAAGCCACTCTTGAAATGCCATGACCATCAAAGGAGATTCCTGAGGACTGGAAGAAAGCAAATGTCACATCTTTCTTCAAGAAGGAACTACAGACCAGTCAGCTTCACCTCATTCCCTGGGGAAAGTATTGAACAAGTAATTCTGGATACCATTTGCAAACTTGTGAAATTCAAGAAGTGATTAGGAGAGTTAACATAGGTCTAGGAAGAGAAAATCATTCTTGACCAACCTGGGAGCCTTCTATGTCATAGTGACTGGTCTGTGCATGAAGGGAGAACATTGGATGTTGTGATCTTGAGTATAGCAAGTTTTTTGACACTGGCTGCTGTAACATCCTCAGCGGCAAATGCAGACTAGGGTACAGACTAGGTAAGAGGAGTGAAGAGTGAGACTGAAAATTGCCTGAACTGCTGGGCTATTCACACTATGATCAGCCACACAAAGTCCACCTGGATGCTGCTTGCCAGAGGTGTACACAGGAGGTTGATACTGGGGCCAAAATGGTTTAACATCCTTTTAAGTTACCTGGACTGTGGGACAGAGTGCACTCTCAGCAGGTTTGCACTTGATACAGAACTGGAAGGAGTGGCTGCTACACCAAATGTTTGCAAATGGAGAAACAGGCTGACAGGAACCTCTTGAAGTTCAAAAAAGGGAAATGCCAAGTCAAAGAAACAACTCCAGGTACCGTAGGAGCTGTAGGGTAAACTAGCTAAAAGCAGCTTCAGTAAAAAAGATCTTCTGGGCTGTACTTGGAAGAGTGTTGCCAGCAGGTCAAGGGAGGTGATCCTGCCCCTCTGCTCAGTGCTGTTGAGGCCACAGCTGGGGTGCTGTGTCCTGTTCTGGGCTGTCCAGGACAAAAGAGATGCAGAACTACCAGAGAGAGTCAAGTGCAGGGCCAAGAAAATCGTTAAGGAATTGGAGCATCTCTCCAATGGAGGAAAGGCTGAGATAGTTGGAGTGATTCTGCCATGAGATAAGAAGCTCAAGAGGATCTCATAAGTGTGAATAAATACCTGATGGAGGTGAATAAAAAGGATAGAGCCAGTATCTTTTCAGCGGTGCCCAATGACAGGACAAGAGACAACATGAAATTCCACTTAAGAAAAAGAATATTTAGTGTGTAGGTGGTTAAACACTGGCACAGGTTGCCCAGAGAGGTGGTGGAGTCTCCATCCTTGGAGACATACAAAACACAATGGGACATGGCCTTGAGCAATCTACTTTAGTTGACCTTGCTTTGAACAGGGAGTTTGGACTAGTTGCTCTCTAGAGGTGCCTTCTAACCTCAGTCATTCTGTGAAATCATTGCTTATATAATAAAACAAAAAGTATTATCTCTGTAGGAAGCCCCATGTCATAGTCATGGGTGCAATCATGCTATCCTGCTGCTAATAAGTACTGTTAGAAACAATTCATGTATAAACCTGCAGGGTGTAGGATCCTGACATTCAGGGGGACAGCAGGGACCTTTTGGCACCTCATTCTGGGGCAGATGGGGGATGCTTTGCTGCTCCTCACCAGCTGCATTCCTTAGAGGCTGGGCTTTCCCACCCCCAGGTAAGGAGCACAGTAAACATCACGACCTTGGTCAGTCCAGTATGTTGGAGAGAAGGAGCAAGCTGCCCGTGGGGAACAGCTGCCTGTGCTGGCACTGTGGTACCTGGGGAGGTACCTTTTCTCAAGGAGAACCTGCAGCTGATTTTTCCAGCCTACTTTCTAGACCTTTTGTGCTGATCCCACAAAGCACAAAGGGAATAGAGCAGGGCTGGGAATATGTGTGAAAAAATATCTCTCCCAGCCTTTTAGATACTGAACAGAAGGAGAATGTAACAGCATGACTTTTGCACCAGTTCCGTAGAGATAAAATCACTTTTGAAAGCAGTTTTTTGGTTGTTTAGGAAAACTAATTTTCTTCTCAGTTTTGAATTAGACAGTAATTTTATTTTCTCTTCAACTTCCTATTATTGTTGTGACTATTATCAGGAATGAATTATTCTGAACATCAAGCATAAGAAGAAAGCTATGCTTTTTTTCTTTTTTTTACACCATCCTTTTAATAGTAAGTTTTGGCCTGGATCACTTACTCTGTTTAGGATTAATGCATTCATGAGCCTTATTTTCAGTAGCTATGAAGAAAAGACATTTTAAACCAAATTGAGGTTGTTGATATCTTCTGTAATGCATTTTTAATGTATGAGATATTGTAAGGACCAGAAAAACATTCTGTGCTCTGCAATACAATTCGACAACAGAAAAAAATTAAAAAGAGAAAGTAAGATAAAAACAAGCTAACAGTATATGGAAGAGGGAAATATACAGCCATGCTGTTAGTGTCCAGTTGGCTAATTTTATTGGGATTTCCAGCATATGAAAAATGAATATGATAAGTGATGGGGGGATGAGGATGTTGCGATATTAATAAGAATGTAATTCCATAAGAAACTGTCTTGTGATTTATAGCTAATAATATTACTGAAATGAGGCTAATGAAGAAAATCAATCCTATATAATACATTTTTGTAAGTCTGATTCTCAAAGCATTTCTGATGGAAAAAAAATAGATTTGTCTTCTCCTCCCAGCAATCCCTGCTGACATGAGAAGTCTCGCTGAAATCAATTGAAAATCAGACTGGGGAGTAAATAAACCTCTATGGATGCACTTCTGTTCTGCCTTGCTTCTGTAGTTCCTCTCCCATGGCAATGTCCTTAGAGCCACATTTTCTGTAAGAAAACTGCTACAGTGCACCTGGAGTGCAGCTATCGACCTTACTGCTGTACTAGTAAACTCCACCTGCTATGAAAGTTACCTTTGGTCTTGCTGACTTGGGTACTAACCACAAAGGATTTGCTGTGCCATACCAGTCTTTCCAGACCTTTGGGTATTTATGCAATAAGCTGATCTACACTGCACCCCACACCGCTTGGTTTTACTGAAATTAGTGCTGGAGAAAACTAGAGGAAGGCAAGCTTCATTGTTCTTACCCATTCTGTAGGAACACTTCAGGCTGCAGTGCATGCTTTCTCACCCCAGCCTGCCTTCATCTAAGTAACTGAAATCAGCTTCAGTGAGATTTAGCAGATCCCTGAAAATGTACAGTTATGCCACTCTTTGTGTTCCTTGCCTGCTTCATTCCCCATCTTCCTTGTAAAGCACAATGTGATTTATAACATGTATCTTATAGCATTTGGAAGATCACCTGTTTCTTCAGAGAAATTTCATGGGGCATATTTAAAACCACAGATGTTTTAGAAATACTGGCAGTCCTTTGCTTTGCTTCAAGTACAGACTCATAGTTCTCCTTATGAGGGAATGTCTACAATGAAATTACTGATTTTGTGAATAATTCCGTGGATGCTAAAGTGTGACTGCTCTTCTTGGTGGACTGTGAAGAGAAGCTTCCCCACATATTTATCTACTCAAGCCCAAGACCTTCCTCTTCAGGATTCTGGAAATGGGCATACTGGTAGAGCTTTCTGTTTCTGTCACCATGCTTATTTAAGTCAATAACCTTTTTGATGTCAGAGAGGCAACATAAAATCTTCTGTAAACAGCCAGTGCTTACATATTTCCTCATCTCAAGAACCTTGCTGATACCTGATTTAAGACCTGACATATCCACCTCACCCAAATACTTAAGTAGGCACAGATATGTGACAGCAGGGAGGTCTGATGTGAAGAAAAGGATGCAAATGTAAAGTTGGATTAAGGGTGTAGTGCTATGCACAAAATCATGTCACCTATTTTTGTGGGCGTGTTTTTTTTTTCCCCCTGTATCTCACTTCCAAGCAACTGTGGAGGTTACCAGCATGAGGCACAGGAGATTATGGGCAAAAATGTATTTGTACTATTAGATGCTTGGAAGAACTGAAGTCTTATCTGAGCTTGGTGAGAACAGTATGAGATCTGACAGGGACTGGAGAAACACCTAAGACACAGCTAACAAGAGAATGGCTACTGGTTTCAAAAGAAAAACAGTTGATTATGTTTAGTCAGAAAAGGAAAGATTTTAGTTAGAGTCTTGACTGGTTATTTGTGTTTGAGGTTACTTATGAAAACTACTTAACACAGAGCAGACTAGATCCTGGCACTGTTGTGCTGTCATCACTGTAAATTCATTAATGTTTCACTGAACTGCAGTAATGCCATTAGATTGCCCTGTGTCACATGTGTTGTGTCTATGAATGCTCTCTTTGTCTCCCTGCATAGCAGGGAAGGTGAAAGGCACTGGAATTAACTGATTCTTCAAGCCAAGAATCTTTGTAATCATAAATAAAGTAAGTCCCTTCAGCTTAACATTCATTGCCTCCTTTCTCATTTAGAAACAGATGTCAGCACAAGGAGAAGGCAGGTGCAGAGTCTCTCTTTCAGCTGCTTTTGAAGGAAAGCAGGAAGTGAATAAGTCACAGGGAGCTGTGTTGTACGTATCTTTAGAAAGGCATTTATAGCTTCTAGATACATTTCTGCTAATGAGGGTGTGAGATGCCAGCTCTTTGGAAGATGCAGCATGCACTGTCGCACTCTCATCAACTCTGATGGATGCAGTGTGTATGGGAGTATAATTTAAACATGAGGGTACGAGGAATTATTTAAGTTGCCACAGAAAGTACTTAAGAAAAAATGTCTAATACTAGAAAATGTCTAATACTAGAAAATGTCTAATATTAGAAAAATAGCTGCCTTAGTTGAATGCTATATAAACTACAAAAATTCTTATTAACTGGAAACCCCCAAATGGATGCTCTCCATACATTGCAGTACTGTCTGAATCTGCATATAAGTACCCTGAATAGTAGCTGTAAAGTTACAATTTACTACAGTGTCTAACTCCTGAACCTAATGAAGGCCACAAACTGATTGTTGCCAATCATATTATTAGTGTTAAAGGTAGAAGCAGTGTGATCTGAGAGCATGTTATATTTGGGTGCATGTTAAGAATCTGACTACTGCCATTTTCCCCCTTAGGCAATCCAACTTCCACACAAAACACTGTCATTTTTTAATGAGGGCAAGATCAGACCCAATATGATCCATAGCTTCTACGAGATGCCAGACTGAGGTGAGTAGAAAGGGATAAACAGCCCCATAGTCTCTCTCTCTTCTCTCTCCACATCCATCGAGTGAAGCTGATTTGAGGTGGGTGGAAAAAACACTATTCTTTGTAAAGTGCTGGCACAATATGCCCTCATTAGCAACGCATGCCCACTTTTATTGGCCACTCTTGCAGTTCCTCATCTGAAACACTATGCTGCAGGCGTTTTGCAGAGTGTTTGGGATTTTAACTATGAAAGGAGAAACTAACCAGAAAAACTCCTGCAGCTTCCTGGGCTTGAGGCACTGCATAGTCTGGCATGGATTTCACTTTCCCCGTGACACTGAAAAAGCACTAACCTTCCTGTCACAGAACAACTTGCTTTGGTGCTGCATGCTAGCAAAGATGCTCTGTGATAAACAAGCTTTTAATCTTGTACTTCCACACTTTTCTTTAGTAAATTGTAACTTGACAAAGCTGTGTGTTGATGACTGTGCCAAAAGCCTAGCCCTGAACAGAGATGGTAAAAAGAGAGAAGGAGAGAAAGTGCTCACAGGAAGCACACAGAAAAATTGTGCTTTAGAAGCTTTGTCAGTGCTTTGATTTAGTGCCATCAGTCTTGCTGCAGCAGGCCTTCTACTTAGTGCTAATGCAGACAGTCCGGGAAAACTTCAAAGAAACTATAAATGATGTCTTGCCACCTGAAAAGAATCTTCCGCCTCCCTGAATTCTAAGGAAGGATCTGCCAAAGCAACAAGCATGCTGGGATTCAAGAGGAGCCTGCCCTTTCGTATGATAAGAACTGTAGCGTAATCAAGGTATATAAGTAGCCAAATATCAGCATTAGATTTTCAGGAAAAAGCCCTGCTGGCTCTTTCCATATGACACCAGTCCACATGTGTCAGACAGAACTGCTGGAAATGGGCCATCTTCAGCATGAAAGGAATACCCAGTGCTCAATGGTATGCTTACAAACCCAAGACAGAGCTTTTCAGGGCCAAAATGAGATTTTAAGTGCTTAACAGGAATAACAATAATAGAATTTAGGAGCATTTAAGTTTGCTATAAGAAACGCTGACCCACAGCTGGGGGCTAAAAAGAAGCTATTTCAGAGAAAGTGCTTAAACAGAGTTAAACAGGTTGGGAAGCAGCACAGGAGTGTAAGTAGAAGAGGATTTTTTCTGCTTACCTGAAAGTCATTTTGTTCCCTGAAACATTCACAATAATCCGTCAGTATTGCCCTGTCTCCTGGTGCCACTCTGCCCCTTTCCCTGATGAAGAGAGGCTGAGTTTATCTGCTTTGCTGATGCAGACACAACAAAGCACACTATGCTATGAACTAACTCCCTTCCTGTGGAACAAACATTAGGAAGCAGCTGAAGAGATATTTAAAACTCCTGTGTTTCAATGTAAACCAGAAAATGCCTTTTTTCAGATTCTTAAACAGGAGGGTGGAGACTGTGAAATACAAAATCTGATTGAAAGAATAAAAAGTCTGATATTAAACTCTTCTTTTTAGTGAAGAAGTCTCCTCTGATGCCTTCCCCCAGGCCCTTTTCATATAAAACTGTTGTACATGGATGTATTGCAGGACATATAAACTATTAGGTGGGCTATTAGAGCCCCTGGATAAATTATTGCATGGAAATCTGGAGTGTTTTGGGAAAATATTTCATATTCAGTGTATGAAAGGATTTTTATTTTTAATGGCAGCTGTTTGATGTTGTTCAGTGGCTTGGAAAGTTACCAGTCCATTTGCATTTCTGAATAAAAGCATTTCTGTGTCTGTAAGATCTCAATTTTTTGAGCCTGAGGATCCAAAGATAAATTCCTTTAGTGGTTCTTTTTACCAGATATCTGATCTGAGCCAGGTATTACTACATTATTTTTTTATGTTATCATCACCCTGGAAGAATATTACTTTAAGAAATCAGTGTTCAGTGTTTCTATGTGAAACATTTAAATTAGAAGAACAAAATCAGTTTCTTATTCCTAGTTATCTTCATGAAACATGATTAATGAATGATAGAATATAAATCTGAATGGAAATATCTCCTTTTCCAAGGTTCCAGTTAAACAGTTTTGAATTGCAAATCTGAGGATGTGAGCTAAGCGTCTTTCTAGCAGCATTACAGTGCAGTCTCACTGCCTGTCATTTCCTGTCTGTCCTCCCTTTAAGTACTTGCTCCTTCATAATTATTATCTGCAGTTGGCTACTGGACTTTGAAACTGCAAATTGCTTTCCATATGATTTGTTTCCTGCTGTATATACTTTGAAATCATACTGTTTGTTATCTGTCACTAAGATTACAAGTGACATGACTTAAGAGGAAAAAGGTAGAAAACTTTCAATGAAAATATGGAGCTCTTTACTGACTATAAAATGTGACAAAGTGTCAAAACTCCGTAATATGAAAAAAAAATAGAGCAGCTGTACTTAGAATCTGGTACTGATTCAGTGATGAATAGAAAAAATGATTAGAAATAAAACCAATCATAAGTGAAAAAAGGAGTAAACAAATATTGATATGAAGTAGAAATTGCAGGCTATAAAAATATGGATGAACACTTTGGGGAAAATCCATAACCGGGTTTCATACAAATAAGTAACATTTTTTAACTACATTAATAAGAGAAGAAACACAAAGTCATTACTTGCTGAAAAAGTGCATTTGTTGATGATGACAAAGAGATAAAATATTCATAAATATTTTGAGGGTTTCATGCCTGGAGAGGATGTGCCTACAAAATGTGTGGTTAAAGAATTTTGTATTTTATTAGTAGCTAAGTGGTACACGAAATTGCAAAGTTAGGATTTTAAACTCTAATTTAAATCTATATGCTCACACCCTGAAGTTCTATAAGAATTGGCTGAACAGACCTTCAGTCTCTTCTGCAAATTTTAAATATATATGGGAAAATATTATAAAATTTAAATAATTTTGGCATTATACAAATATTAAAGAAAAAAGAGAGAAAGGAGATAACGTAGCTAATTACTTTCTGGTTAGTCTGACAAAAGTCACAGGAAAACTACAAAATACCATTTATACGGGACTAAAGTCACAAAAACTTGATGTAGAGAACTACAATTAATGCTAGTGACAATAGTTTTACTGAAAGTATATCTTGTCAGAGAAACATACAATGAGATTACAGATTTTGATGAGGCATATGATTTACTAGTGTACAAGATTCAGTTTAAAAATAAACACTAGGACTCATTCAAATGAATGGTAAAATAAAAGGTAAAATGATAATGCAGTCTGTCCACATTCTGTAGACTGGCTCCTGGATACCTTGACTCAGGAAGAGGATTTAATGTTTACACTAAATGGCAGCAAAACACAAGATTCAATATTTGATTCAACAGCAAAAAAAGGGGGAAAAAAAAGGACTAATGTGAATCCTTGACAGGAAGATAAAAAAGAAATGAATGAGTACAGAGTAGTGAAAACAAAAGCTACACAGAACAATTTTGGTGTCAGTATTTAGATCACATGGGTCAGTATATAGATCACACAGAGGTGACCAGACTAAAGGGGGTGAGTACATTAGAGAGAAAATATAAAGCAATAAAGGCTCTTCTGTCAAGGCAAACAAGCATAATATGAACCAATGGCTGAAAGCTAAAGCCAGAAAAATTCAAATTAGAATTAGATACCCATTAGCTAACACTGAAAGAGATTAACCACCTAAACAGCTCTCAAAGTAACGAATTCTTCATGTCTTGATGTCTTCAGGTCTGGCATTTCTGGAAGATGTGTTGTGGCTAAACGCAAGTTATTATTTACTGATGGCCAAACAAGTAACTTAATACATACACTTTCATTAAATGTAATAGCTTGTGATATAGGAAGCCAGACTGCACTCTGAATTTATGATTTCATAGCTTTACCAGAAAGGGGCACATGAGCACTTTTTCATCTATGGATGTTTACACATTGATAAGCAAAACTTAGTACAATGAATGAAGAACTGACACTCCTTTCACCATCATTTTACATACTCAAGTATCTTGTTATTCCCTTGTCACTTGATCCTGATCAGTGCTTCCCCTTTTTTACAAGCTTCTCAGATGAAAAGCCAACACCTGTAAGCCAACACCTGCTTGTGCTCTTCTACTGAAAAAAAATTGATCAGGCCCATTATTCAGCTCCTTTTATTTTAAACAGTAGAAGATATTATATATTTTCCTGATTCAGTGCTTCTTTTTAAAATGTTTAATTTGCAAGTAGTGGATTTAACATCTATCTACTCCCAGAGAGCCACTCCTTTTCAATAGCTACTAGATGAAATTCATAATCCTTCAGGAATCTCATCTAATGTTAAAGATCTGAAATCATTACAGCTAGGTAAATACATATTTATCATCTCCTTATTGCAGATTTTCCCCTTGAGTGTCTCATCTTCTTCCTTGAATTTACATCTGAGTGTATCTTTACTTCTGCTTCCTTCCTAAAGAAATAAAGAACTATTTACATAGGAGTTTTGCCATGTCAGATCCCTTGATTATCATTTGCATTCTGTTTCATTGTGTTTCAGAGACATCCTATTTCATCCTTTAACTCTCTTTTTCTTTTAGCCTGACAGGGGAAAAAAAAAAAATCCCACTTCCCTTCTACTTTTCTATTGTCTACAGGAATTCAATTTTGTGCTTACTTTACTTCATCAGCAGTTCCTGTTGTCTTTGCCATTTTTTGTAGTTCTTGACACATTTTTTTCCCAGGGCTAGATTCTTTTAGGGAAAGGATCTCTCTCCAGGAGACTACACAGATTATTCTCTGGGTTTTTTATTATTTTTTCAGCTTCTTTTTGACTGTAGTATTTTTAATCCTTAAAAAAACTACTTCCTATTTCTTGAGTTTTCCTAAAGAACTTGAAACTATCTTCCCATAATTTTAGTGTCCTCTAGCTTAATATGTAAATTCTCATGGACAGTCATAATAGTCACATTTTACACATTTGAACACTGGGAGAATACACACTAATTATGCCCATCAGTTTGTAAGCATTGGCCTGTTCCCATTTTCCCTTCATCTCTTGTGCATGTAAGAGGTTTATAGCTGTCCTGTAGAAAAACTTGTGTACACACTTTCAGATCAATGTGTTGATCTTTTAATTCCCTCCCTAAACCATGCGTGTTGTAAAGTGAAACATGAGGAGTGTGTGCAGGACTAGTCTTCTATCCTATTAGCTGGCGAAACCAGGAAGCACAAATTTATACTTAAAGATCTTAAAACACTCAAGGCCACTGAAACCACCCTTTTGTGTGGATGAAAGGGGAAACTGGGATTCAGTGGACATATTTTTGCAATGTTTGCATGATGGTATTTGCCAGTGTAAACCTGACTTGCAAACATACGGTGTTTTTCACTGTGAACCGTTTCTTTTTGCTATAAATGGTCCCTTTATTGAAAATGGTCTCCCTTTACCTTTTCATCTTGAACTATTTGAACTACCCAACCATCCTTTTCCTTTTTGTAACACATTACTTCAGCTGCAGAAAAAAAAACAAGCAAATGATATTATTCCAGGAATACTGGAATATTATTTCTTGTAATGAACTAGTTTCTTTTAAAACATGTAGAAAGATTTTCAATGTTGTTACATATAAGCTTGTGCTTTAATAGTCAAACACAGAAACTTTCTGCTTATACTTCTAAATTTGGAAAAGAATAAAACATACTTGAGAGAGTAGCCTGGCAAGAAATAAAGATAGAAACAAGACCAGGAGAGAGATGATTGCTGGTCAACCCCATAGCCAATACAGGACACAAAATAGGAAGTCCTATTTACTGGACAAACTAGATGTTTTTGGGTCCCTTCAGTTGCCTATCTCGCTGTATGGACATTAGTTTTTCTTTCAGAACACCTTGGTAAGAGCTGAGATTTGGCTTAGAGAAGCATAAACAGACTCTAAATTGCCTCAAATGGAATTCTCCAATATCCCACAGAATATTTATCTCCTTATCAAAATATTAAGTCCTATGTGCCCTCAACTACTCTACGTTGGCAAGGTAATAAAGAAAAAAGTGGATAATAAAGGAAATATGATCATCTCACAGTTCGAATTTCTCATCCCTTGAATCAGAGAAATAACTGTCAGTTCTATGGCTGGGAAAGAATCCTGCAGGTAGAAATGTACAGTTTAAAGTAACTTGTATGTAATTCTGGATTTTTTTCCTGTAGATTTCTTATTAACCTGTACAGTTGTCTGCTTTGGACTATCCCTGCTGGAGTGGTGAAAGCAGTAAGTACAGTTGTGGAAATGTAACCTCTTAAAAAATGTTGCTAGTCACTAGTGACTATTTACACATATAAATTGCACAGTTTTTGGATGGAGAATTCTAGTTCAGGCCTGGTTTTCTGAGTATATACAATTTAAGGTGTTTGGGAAAGGTATATTGTCTGTTGAAGAAAAATCAGGGACTGCAGAGTGAATAATAATATATATATATATAGGAAACACTAGAATAGTTGCTTGCAGTCTTTCCAGGATTAAGTACTATATCAACCATGTTTCAAAATGCCATTT